GACTAGATTATCTCACAGCTTTACTGTTCCCTGGTAAGTGTTCTAAGCAGCCTTTCCAGGCTGAAGGGACAAACCCAGGAAAGTAACAAGGCCTGAGACCCCAAATGGATAAGCTAAGCAGCCCCGACTAGAAGCTTGCTACTCGTTAACCGAAAAGCGGGGGTCACACACTACTTTCACTCTCATTAGCAGATCAGAGGGGATTTTCTGATGGCAACAGTCACTGAATGTAAGGTTTCACTCACAGGGCAACTGTTATCTAAAAGTTATTGTTAAAAGCATATGATTAGTGTCATAAACATATTTAGATTTGGAACTACATCATTTGATATTTCCATTAAGAATGCCAAGCTCTGAGAAAAACATACTGTAAAATCATGCTGCTGAAAACTGCAAGGTATCCAACTGAGTATAAACAGTCTGATGTCAGTCTAATATCACCCTGAAATGGATCCTGGTGACATGCACTACTGAGCCAGCTACCTTGACAGGAAAAAGCAGAATGGCAGGGAATCATTCCAGATCAAGAATCCCTCTATCAGTTAAGATTTCCATATTGAGTCTATGAAAAAAGCAAATTAAAAACACTTTAAGAAAGGGAGAATTCAATTCCAGGTCAGAATTTATCTAATGAGCTAAAATGTGTCCCACTTACCATGTCTAAAAAATGGATGACTTGTGCTAGCCCAGTTAGATTAATAACTTCTTTTGATGAGATAAACTACTACTTTAGTCCAGCTTAGCTTGACTATTCTTCCCATTTGAAAACCCAAATGACCTTTATAAGGTATATAAAATTCCCAGAGTACTGTGATCTCTCTAGAGGAAATACAATTACACAATAAAACTTGATGTTTGCTGCCAAAGAATTAAGTACAACAAAACTTCCCATATTTATAGATTCAGATGTGATTGTTCTTGGGATTTGCCATCTCTAATCCTAGAAGTAAATCTGGTTATCTTTTGAAAATACTTTCTCACTACAGAAATGCTAAATATGTTTATTAAAGTAGTTCAAATTGGATTGCCCAACTTTATTTTAAAATCAGTATGGCAAAGAAAGGCCTATGCCAAAAAGCATGCTTATGAGACTGAGATTTAAGCCATACAACAGCAACTGGCAGGCCACAAAGAGGGTGAGCTATCACAGAGCTAGCCACACTCTATTTGAAATAGCTACAGGGAAAATAAGCCATAAAAGTAAGTTTGCCTCAAAAATTTCCTTTGGGCTGGGCGCGGTGGCTCACGCCTGTAATCCCAGTACTTTGGGAGGCCGAGGCGGGTGGATCACGAGGTCAAGAGATCGGGACCATCCTGGTCAACATGGTGAAACCCCATCTCTACTAAAAGTACAAAAAATTAGCTGGGCATGGTGGCGCGTGCCTGTAATCCCAGCGACTCAGGAGGCTGAGGCAGGAGAATTGCCTAAACCCAGGAGGCGGAGGCTGCGGTGAGCCGAGATCGCGCCATTGCACTCCAGCCTGGGTAACATGAGTGAAACTCCGTCTCAAAAAAAAAAAAAAAAAAAATTTCCTTTGATTTTATAAAAAATGAAGATTGTTACATATTAAGTCTTCAAAATGGAATTTCTTAAACACAGCCAATTACATTAAAAATCGTAACTATTTTAAGATAATGTTAAATGGAGAAGTAAAACAGAAAGCAGGATTAAAAGATTTTCTAATTAAGGGTCTCACCGTCATATCCAATAATACCGCCATGTAAATTCACTTCACAGGAAAAATACAAGGCCACTGTAATCTCTATTTTTAAAGACGTCGAGAAATTCTTGATTCTAAACTGTCTCTCTAGCAGGACACATAGGTGAGTCAAAAACCAAAATAACCATCACTGAAATACCAAATCTCTACGTAACAGAAGAAACCAATATATGCATATGGTTTTCCCTGTTGGATTTTGCAGTTCTAAAGAACATTCTTGCTACTGCTCCAAGATGTGTACCGTGCAAAACCATGTTTCATGGCAAGCTTGAGTGAAATGCTAAGCGAGGCCACCCAGTGAAGCTGAGTGTCCACAGTACAGCAGCTGCCTTAGCCTTCATCAAGGCTTGTGTTACTGGAAAACTGCCATGTTCACCAGAAAAAGTGGTTCTTCCTACGCTCATTACTTTTGAGTCCTACCAAGACGACCAATTCATCAGCCTGCACCCCATGATTTACTGAGTAGTTAAATGATGGTCAAAAAGGTAGAGACAGGGTAAGAATGACATCATAATGATACACTCTACAGGATAAGAAACATGTTAAAAAGTCAGCCTAATTGTATCTTGAAAAAGTTGTTTCTACCAAAACGTGTGAATCTTACAACTTATGCAAATCAATTTCCCAGCAGGCCAGTAAAGTACTTTAAGTATACAAGTAAAAATAAAATGTAATGCCAGTGTTAGTGACATATTTGGTTCTCACTTACATTTTAGTTACATACTTAACACTGATCAGGCAGACAGCGTTAAGTTTTCAAAAATACGGAATTATTTAAATTATTACTAGACCTGTAACTATGATACTCTCCTTTTGGGAGACTTCAGTCATCACAGTAAAATTACGAGCATTGGTCAAATGATACCTGAACATAGAAAAATAAAAAAGAAAAGAAACTGATTAACCAGCATATTTTAATCAGCCTAGGGATCATATGCAATAAAGGGGAGAGAGCGGAAGCGTAAGACGTGAGTGAATGGGACTTCAGAGATCATCTAATTCGGTGTCTAGAAAAGGCTGAGAACTATTAATCTAGTCCAATTCTCTCATTTTTCAGATGAGAAACCCGAGATTAAGAAGAGAGAAGTGTGAAGGTGACAATTAGCAGAGCTGTTACCCAAGCGCACTGCCGCCACTGGCACCCTTTCTGCATGCAGGACAGACGACGCTATGCATTTAATTGGTACCTGGGTGGAGTGAAATTAAATACTGCCTTCATTTCCCAGTTGCTAGTGGCACCCTCCGGTATTTTCCGAAGTGTGTAAGTGAGATCCCTGCTAGCAAGGAATCTTTACTCTGGGAGATCAGGAATTCCTTCCCACGTGGGTACTGGCTATGCCTTACTGACAGAACTTCATGCCGTAAATCTAGAAGTTACAGAAGGTGGAGCTGAAGAAGCAGGTGGGTCAAAAAGAAATCTGAGCTACAGTGCTTGCTACTTTTCAGTCTTAAGACTTTGCTAACTAAAACATACACTATTCCTTCCCTTTTCTAAACTTTAACTAATTATAGTGCAATCCCAGAAAAGTAAACATTTACATGCTCTCCAGTTATTTCATGTGTAGTGTGTCTCCCTAACTGGATAAAACAGGCAGGAATCAGATCTTTATTCTTTTTTGAGACGGAGTGTCACTCTGTCACCCAGGCTGGAGTGCAGTGGTGTGATCTCAGCTCACTGCAACCTCTGCCTCCTGGGTTCAAGCGATTCTTGTGCCTCAGCCTCCCGAGCAGCTGAGATCACAGACATGCACCACCATGCCCAGCTAATTTTTGTATTTTTAGTAAAGATGGGATTTCACCATGTTGGCCAGGCTGATCTCAAACTCACGACCTCAGGTGATCCGCCTGCCTTAGACTCCCAAAATGCTGGGATTACAGGCATGAGCCACCACACCCAGCCAGGAATTAGATCTTAGGTTTCAAAATATTTCCAGCTTCAATTAAGAACTCAATAGATAATTGTTGACTTATATAGTCAAGAAGCAGAATTATATACATGATTTAAAAACACACACACAAGGTCTACAATAATCTGGTATTGCTGGTACAGAAAAGATAACTGCAGGCCGGGCGCGGTGGCTCACACCTGTAATCCCAGCACTTTGGGAGGCCGAGGCGGGTGGATCATGAGACGAAGAGCTCAAGGACGTCCTGGCCAACATGGTGAGACACGTCTCTACTAAAAATACAAAAATTAGCTGGACGTGCTGACGTGCTCTTGCAGTCCCAGTACTCAGGAGGCTGAGGCAGGAGAATCACGTGAACCTGGGAGGCAGAGGTTGCAGGGAGCCAAGATGGCGCCACTGCACTCCATCTAAAAAAAAAAAAAAAAAAAAAAAAGAAAATTGCATCATTTTTGAAAAATGGTTAAAAGAAGATAAAATTCTTTTTTTATCCTTTTCATTTATTCTTGGCAAATAATGCCACATAGTGATTTTCCTTTCACATCTTCAACAGTGCACCATTTTAAAAAAGCAATCATCAGCCTCTCAATGGCATAAATAAAAATGTATAGGCACAGTGCAAATCCCACAACTTTAACCCAACTGCTTTCCTATATTTAAAGGAACAAAACTAAATGATAATGCACAAAGCCAAACAAGATTTGAGTAACTTGATTCTCTCGCTGCAGGAGAACACAGCATGGAAGTTAAAACCGTATGGAGTCTGGGTTCCAATTCCGATTTGCCACTCACTAGCTACAGCATCCTCAGTAAGTTCTCTATACCTGTTTTCTTCTTTACACAATGGGAAGAAAATGTACATACAAGTACCTAGCACATGCCCGTTACTCAGTATTAGTTTCCCATTCTTTTCTCATTTGGCATTGTTCGTCTCTTCTCTGGTTCCTTCCGATATCAAATCTGAAAAAGTATTCCCCTAACTTTTTTCCCCCACTGGTTTTGTTTGTTTTTTAATTTGAGTTGGAGTCTCCCTCTGTTGCCCAGGCTGGAGTGAAATGGCGCAATCTCGGCTCACTGCAACCTCTGCCTCCTGCATTCAAGCCATTCTCCTGCCACAGCCTCCCGAGTATCTGTGATTACAGGTGTCCGCCACCACACCCAGGTAATTTTTGCATTTTAGTAGAGATGCGGTTTCACCATGCTGACCAGGCTGGTCCTGAACTCCTGACCTCAGGTGATTTGCCCGCCTTGGCCTCCCAAAGTGCTGGGATTACAGGCGTGAGCCACCACGCCCGGCCTTTCCACTAGTTTTCGTTCCATCTCCCTGTATTTTTCTCTTATCACTCTGGAAGTCTTTCTTTCTTGTTCTTTTCCTCCCTAGCTTTTTTTTTTTTTAACACTTTTTCAAACTGTTTCCAACACCCACAAGGAATGACTATTTTTAACTAACCTTACTGACCTCATTGAATCTATTCAATAAAACCTCTCCCCTAAAGAGCAAAGGAACTTGCAGAGGAAATAAAGCAAACTGGAAGAAGCATACTCCTGTCAGTGGACTAAATTCTTGAGGAAGGCAATACTCCTTATGCATTCTTCCCATGTACAATCCATAACTCCTCCCATGGAACTCTGTATCAACCCTAAGATCATGACACTCCCACCTCAAAATAAAATAAAACAAAACCCACTACCTCTTGTATTGTAAAATCCCAGTTAGATGTTAAGTTGGATGAATGTGTCATGCCATCTCTTCAATCGCTTTATGTATACTTAGTCATCTCACAGTAGCCTAAGTTGAAGAAGTCACTTTGGTTTCTCATAAATGAATATGCAAGTGCTGAGCATGTGGAAAAGAACTACGTCCCCTCACTAACGGACACACTACCAGCTTCTCTGAATATGTTTTACCATGAGAAACTAGAAGGTAAAGAGAATGAAACAGAACCCAATGGATAAACTGTTGACATGTTTGACTGATTTGGGCTTCAGCTGTGACTCTGCTGGGCGAGCAAATGGGGGCCATCAGTGCACCAAGCTAAGCATACCTCCTTTTCTTACCCTGTGCCTCCCTGAATTTTTAGATTTCTGACCTTGTCTACTACCAACAAATGTCTTAACCTCCAGGGCACCTTTAACAGCACATAGCTCTATTCTTCAAACAGCAAGTATGTTACCCAAGTTCAGAGACACAATTGAGGAATTAACATAAAAACCATCCTTCGCTCAATAAATCAAAAGCTGCTTGTTAAGCCTCAAGAACCATAAAAAACACCAAAGTGTAAGTATTACTCAGTCACCACTCTAGAGAGAGAACTTTGACTCAAGGTAGAAATGAAACCGTAATTATATAAATATATTTATAAATATTTATACAATTATATACTTATACATAGCACTTACACAGACTTAGAAAAAATGCAAGAACATTAATTCAAAAGGACTCACTGAAGAATAAACAATTTTCCATGATTTCTGTGAGGAGATACATAACTCATTCTTTAGGGAGGGTTCCTCAAAATCCAACCAACCATTAGAAATCACATTCTATAATTTTGTACTAGCAACACATCTTTTTTTTTCTTTTCCCAAATCCCCTAATTGCCAAGAGAGCAATCTTAAAGTAGGTGAAAACCTAAAGGTCTCTAAGCAACATCAGTTTACGTTCCTCAGATTAAAGAATCAATCTAAATCCTCAATTGACAAAAAAGGTTCATTTAATATTTTAATTTTACAAGTTAAAAGTTCTAGTTTTGCCACCAGAATCACGACTATTCCTTCAGAGGACTCCAATTAAGCTCAAAATAAGAACTGAGCATAGAGTGAAGCTGATATATAAATGGTATTACATAGATTCAAGATGGCCTCTTCTAAAAAATATTGAAGAAAGCTTTCACCAACTCCAATTTGAATTGGGTTTTGTTGGCAGAAAAATCCCACAACATCTGAAAATTACTAGTAACCTCCATCATCCCCCTTACTAAATGTTGTCTTCTGAATTGAGTTTAAAGGTTTTCCCCTTAGAGAGGCTTTCTTCAGTTTTGATACCTTTTGAAAGAAAACAGCATATGGACTCAAGTTCAAGTCAGTCACCAGAGCCTTTCGGAGACTATTCCAACCAGGGACAAAAAACGAACCATTATTTCTAACCAAAAGAAGGTGGTTAGCAACTCTCTGCTGAATGGCTTTCTTTCTCCCCAGGGACATACCTAAGTATGCCTGAAACAACACAGGACAATCAGTAACCACAGTGGTCACAATGACAAGCCATTGCACTACATGATGATTGACCAGCTGCCTTCCTACAGATCACTGCAGACCCAGACAATAGAGGACTCCAAGGGAACAAATATGCTGTGCTGGCAGAAACAGCAAGCACCTGCCCATTCCTGTCACCACGACAGGCTCCTTCATGCTCGTTCTTGGACCAGCAGGGTCGATACAGAGTAATAAAATTGTCTCAGGCCAGGACAATGAAAGTCACTCCAAGCTATACACTCCATATTTAACGCTCATTCTGCCAATAACACATGTCATGGAAATAGTTCTTATAGCTGGGAACATGAAAATCCTTTGACAAAAGTTTTTAAGTATGATGAGCAATAATTACAAGGGATGCTTTTTCCACATAAACAAAAGCCTGGATATTTTGTTAAGTGATATTTCCTACATGAAGAATACAGCAAAACGAAACACATGTTAGAGAATTTCTTCTCCCTACAAAAAATGGGGGCTTACAAAAAAGGGAGGTTGTTCTTACTCTGAATCTAGCCATTCCTTTGCCAGAGGAGTCTGGGGAGTAACATTAACATTTGATCCCAAAAAAGTGCCGTGCAAGAGACCACTGACTGGAACACAGAGTTCCTGCTGCTGGTACTAGGAGAGGTCTTATCCTTACACTTCAATTTGGTCACCAGATTAGGTAAGAAAGAAAGTGTGGGGGGAGAGAGGGAGGAAGGGGACAGAATGGGGAGGGAGAGAACAGAGGGGAGAGAGAAACAGGGGGAGAAAGAGACTGATTATAGGAGAGGTCGAGAAATAGAAGGAAGGTGACTTGCTTGCCCAACTCTGGCTCTGTGGTCCTGTAAGCCAAATGCACACTTAGTGACATGGTATCTCACGGGAAAAGGGGAAAAAAGGGGTAAGCTGAGAGAGGTCAGGCCATGGTGTTAATTTCTTTCCTGTACAAAGACAGTCTCTTGAGGACAAAGGCCTGCCTCTTGCAAGGTAATATCATAGTCCAGATGAGACAATTTCCTTCGAGGAAAGTTGGTGAGGAGTTCAAAGCGTTCATTTGGGTATCCTTTAGACTGGACGTGCTTCACCAAAGCCTATCAACAACAAGAGAAAGACAAAGCCGTGAGACGCAAATAAAAGGAAAGCGTATTAGTGAATTAGATATAAAACACTCTCTTTTTAATCACATTACAGCAGCTATTAAGTGTAGGTCCTTCTTTCAGATAACCAAAGCTTGCCCTTCGGATGGGGAGATAATATATCTGCACCCAATTACTGAAAGCCATTAAGTGACACTGAAATACACACAGTTATCATTTGTCTCCCCAATAAATACATCCACTCACTATTTATACAATTAAATTATTGTTCTTATTTTAAACATCATCCGTTTTCCTTTATTCCTTTTAGCAAGGAAGGTATGGCCTTCATTCTACCTACAGCCAATCTAGCCACTTGTACACTGAATCTCTTCTTCTCAGAGACGGTACCACCAGAGAATAGCCCATCTTCTGCAGGTTGCTTCAGTATCTCCCTCTCTGCTTCCCATCAAACACTGCTTGCATTTCAGTAATATGGTCTTCAAGAATCAGCCTAATTATCTCCAGCTGTAGCAATGGCCAGGCATGCCTGACCCAAGGGATTCATTCACAGGCTAAGCTAATCAGACTCAAGATTCTGTTTTCCAGCAGTTAAAAAACAGAGGGTTTCGGGCATGGTGGCTCAAAACCTGTCATCCCACATTGTGGGAGGCTGAGGCAGGTGGACAGCTTGAGCACAGAAGTTTGAGACCAGCCTGGGCAACATGGCGAAACCCCACCTCATCAAAAAACATAGGCCAGGCGAGGTAGCTCACGCCTGTAATCCCAGCACTTTGGGAGGCTGAGGAGGGCGGATCACCTGAGGTCAGGTGTTCAAAACCAGACTGGCCAACATGGTGAAACCCCATCTCTACTAAAAATACAAAGGAATTAGCTGGACATGGTGGTACGCATCTGTAATCCCAACTACTTGGGAGGCTGCGGCAAGAGAATTGCTTGAACCTGGAATTGAATGCAGTGAGCTGAGATCACACCACTGCACTCCAGCCTGGGTGACAGCCAGACTTTGTCTCAAAACAAAAATAAAAACTAGCCGGGTATGGTGGCATGTTCCTGTAGTCCCAGCTACTGGGAAGGTGGAGGTGGGAAGAGAATGGCTTAAGCCTGGGAGGCAGAGGTTGCAGTAAGCCGAGATCGTGCCACTGCACTCCAGCCTGGGCAGAGACAGAGCCAGTCTCCAAAAAAAGGAAAAGGACAAAGAAGAAGAAGAAGAAACCCAGAAAGCTCATCGTCTATGAATTTTAGATGAAAATGCCTGCAGCATCACCATGATGGACCATGTACGAGTTGAGGAATAAACAGAAGCCACCAGTATACAGAGAGACTGATGTGAAGCAGGGGATTGCAAGAGAAAACCTACGGGCCCCAGAAGAGAAACAGAAAAACAGACATAACTCTTAAACACTTTGCAGTTCCAGCTACTGGGAAAACCATGATTCTCTTCAAATAAGCCCAGTCGTCCTTTTCCATAAGTAATCATTTCAGTTGGGTTTCTATTCCATGCAGGCATGAAACAGAAAAATCTTCACTGCAACCCATATGTGGCTTACCTAAATTAATCTGGGAAGGAAATAAACTAAATAGAATTAAGATTCATGACCAGGTACTCCCACCTGTAATCCCAGCACTTTGGGAGGCTGAGGCAGGAGGATCACTTGAGCTCGGGAGTTCAAGATGATGGTGAGAACCCTTTTCTACAAAAAAGATTTTTTAAAAATTAGCTGAGTGTGGTGGCACACACCTGTGGTCCCAGCTACCTGGGAGGCCGAGGTGGGAGGCTGGCTTGAGCCCAGGAGGCAGAGGCTACAGTGAACTGAGACTGGGCCAGTGACCTCCAGTGGAGTCGTGAAGGTGGAGCAGGTGGACCTCAGGTGAGCAAAGCAGCAAGACCCTGTCTCAAACCAACTAGCCAGCCGGCCAGCCAACAACATGACTCACCACAGTTTGCAGATAGAGATCAGACTAAACACTTAACACCTATTTCTTTCTTTTTTTCATAGAGACAGGGTCTCACTTTATTGTCCAGGCTGGTCTCAAACTCCTGGACTCCAGTGATCCTCTTGCCTTGGCCTCCCAAAGTGCTGGGATTACAGGAGTGAGCCACGGTACCCAGCCTCCCATACCTATTTCAAAGAATTATCAAGCAAATCTCGCTGAACTTACTCCAATTAAATAGCTTTTCTGCTTCGAGACAATGCTTCCAATTAGATACAGAGGCGTGCCCGGTGTCACTGTGCTTCCCTTTGCTGAAGGTCTACAGCACCTTGGTCAAGTGCCTCTGCTGCTTCACTTTCCAACAGCACGTGCTCATGCCACGCCTCTGCATCACCTGTGGTAATGCTTGTAGTATTCTTTTTCATTATTTTACCTATTATATATAATCATCTGTGAGCATCTGTCTTTGAGGTTACTATTTTAGTTGTTTTTGGGCTCCACGAACCACGCCCACACAAAACCGCAGCCTTGAGAAATGAGTTGTTCTGGCTGCTCCACCTAGCAGCAGTTTTCCCATCTTTCTTCCTCTACTCAGGCCTCCTTATTCCCCGAGACATGAAAAGTACTGAAATGAGGCCAATTAATAACCCTACCATTGTAGGCCTCTAAATACTCAAGTGAAAGGAACTATTGTACATTCTCAAAATCAATCAAATGCTAAAAATGACTGCACCAGTTAGCCAAGCTGTGAATGCAAGGAAAAGTTATTGAAGGAAATTAAAAGTGCTACAGAAAATAGGATATTAGAGAGAGATCCAAGATGGCTGATCACTGGCAGCTGGGGATTGTAGCGCCCAGTGAAAGCGCAGAGAACGAGAGGACGCCACACTTTCAGATGAATTTTTGTTGCTCACACACCAGGAGATTCCCAGCGGAGGAGCCCCACGGGTCGCCAGCGTGACTCTTGTGGCCGGCGAGGCGGTTTTGCCAGTGCGGCGGTTCTTGGTGCAGAGTCAGAAAAGCACCATCAATCTTAACGCCACTGTTTTGGCCGGCGCAGTGGGTTGCTCAGATTTTAGCGCTGGGAATCAACAAGTTGGACGTCCATTTAAAAACCCAACTATAAAGACAGTAATTATAAAGACCACAGATGGATAAATCTATATAACGAAGGGAAGAAACCCACCTAAAAAGACTGAGAATACCCAAAATCAGAACGCCTCTCCCTCTACAGAGGATCACAGTTCCTCATCAGCAAGGGAACAAGGCCTGATGGAGAAAGACTGTGTTCCATTAACAGAAGCAAGCTTTAAAAGGTGGATAAGAAAGTTCAGTGAATTAAAAGAACTTGTTCTAACCCAATGCAAAGAAACTAAGAACTTTGAAAAAAGGTTTGACGAAATGTTAACAAGAATACACAATTTAGAGAGGAATATAAGTGAATTAATGGAGCTGAAAAACACAACACGAGAACTTCGCGAACTATGCACAAGTTTTAACAGCCGAATCGATCAAGCAGAAGAAAAGATATCAGAGGTCGAAGACCAGCTTAATGAAATAAAACGAGAAGACAAAATTAGAGAAAAAAGGATAAAAAGGAACGAGCAAAGTCTCCAAGAAATATGGGACTTCGTCACAAAAAAGTATGTGACAAAGAGAATCAATCCAAGCTGGAAAATACGCTTCAGGATATTATTCAGGAAAACTTTCCCAACCTAGCAAGGCAGGACAATATTCAACTCCAGGTAATACAGAGAACACCATAAAGATATTCCTCAAGAAGACCAACCTCAAGGCACGTAATCGCCAGATTCACCAGGGTTGAAATGAAACAGAAAATACTGAGGGCTGCCAGAGAGAAAGGTCAGGTTACCCATAAAGGGAAGCCAATCAGACTCACAGCAGATCTCTCAGCAGAAACCCTACAAGCCAGAGAGTGGGAGCCAATATTCAACATCCTTAAAGAAACGAACTTTCAACCCAGAATTTTACATCCAGCCAAACTAAGCTTCATAAGCAAAGGAAAAATAAAATCTTTTGTGAACAAGCAAGCACTCAGAGATTTCATCACCACCAGGCCTGCTTTACAAGAGCTTCTGAAAGAACCACTATAAATAGGAACAACCAGTATCAGCCTTTCTAAAAAATACCAAAAAATAAGGCCGGGCGCGGTGGCTCAAGCCTGTAATCCCAGCACTTTGGGAGGCCGAGGCGGGTGGATCACGAGGTCAAGAGATCGAGACCATCCTGGTCAACATGGTGAAACCCCGTCTCTACTAAAAATACAAAAAATTAGCTGGGCATGGTGGCGCGTGCCTGTAATCCCAGCGACTCAGGAGGCTGGGGCAGGAGAATTGCCTGAACCTGGGAGGCGGAGGTTGCGGTGAGCCAAGATCGCGCCATTGCACTCCAGCCTGGGTAACAAGAGCGAAACTCTGTCTCAAAAAAAAAATAAAAATAAAAAAAATAAATAAATAAAGAACATCAACATAATTAAGAACTTACATCAACTAATGGGCAAAACAGCCAGCTAACATTAAATGGCAGTATCAAACTCACATATATTATTATTAATTCTAAATTTAAATTGACTAAATCTCCCAAGCCAAAGACACAGACAGGCAAAAAAAAGCCAAAACCCATCGGTATGCTGCATCCAGACCCATTTCACATGCAAGGATACACAAAGACTCAAAACAAAGGGATGGAGAAAGATTTACCAACCAAATGGAGAGCAAAAATAAATAAATAAATAGAAAGTAGGAGTTGCAATTTTTGCTGATAAAATAGACTTTAAAGCAGCAAAGATCAAAAGAAGCAAAGAAGGATATTACATAATGATAAAAGGATCAATGGAACAAGAAGAGCTAAAGATCCTAAATATATACGTACCCAATACAGGAATATCCAGATATATAAGACTTATAAAGAGACTTAGACTTCCACACAATAATAGTGGGAGACTTCAACATCAATATTAGACAGATCAATGAGACAGAAAGTTAACAACGATATCCAGGACTTGAACTCAGATCCGGAACAAGTAGACTTAATTAACATTTATAGAACTCTCCACTTTAAATACACAAAATATACACTCTTATCAGTATCACATCACACGTATTTATAGGTTTAAATGAAATACTGGTTGGCTGCTTGTTAGTTATTTTCTTCCCTCATTTTTTTTTTCCATGTCTCTATTATTAAACACAATTATAGGCATACCCATTTTTAGTCTGCATTCTAGCCCGGGCAATAAAGCAACACCCCTGTTCTCTCTCCCTCTTCCTCTTTCTTCCTCTCCTTCATTCTTTTTTTTCTTTTTCTTTCTTTCTTTTTTTTTTTTTTTAATTCTTTCTCTTTCTTTCTCTCTTTCTTTTTCTGGGGGAAAAAAAAAAAAAAGTGCTACACCAGTGACACACAAATGATAGAAAGAAAACCAGCCTTACTACTGAAAAGGAGAAAGTTTTCGTGGTCTGTAGAGAAAAATCAAACCAGTCACAACATTCCCTTAAGTCAAAGCCTAATCAAAAGCAAGGTTCTAACTCTCTTCAATCCTATGAAGTCTAAGGGAGATAAGGAAGCTACAGAAGAAAAGCTGGAAGCTAGCAGAGGTTGGTTCATGAGGTTGAAGGAAAGAAGCCATCTCCATGACATAAAAAAGTGCAAGGTGAAAAAGAAACAAAAAAAAAAAAAAAAAAAGGAAAAAAAAAGTGCAAGGTGACACAGCAAGTGCTGGCGCAGGGAGTGTAGAAACTCATCCAAAAGATGTAGTTAAGATAATTCATGAAGGTAATGACATTAACAGTTTTTCGTGTTTGACAAAACAGCCTTCTATTGGAAGAAGATGCCATCTAGGACTTGCACAGCTAGAGAGGAGAAGTCAGTGCCTGCCCTCAAAGGTTCAAACAGGCTGCCTAGCAGCTGGTGACTTCCAGTTGAAGCCAACACTCATTTAACATTCCAAAATCCTGGGTACCTAAAAAATTATGTTAAATCTACTCTGCCTGTGTTCTATAACAGTAACAACAAAACCTGGATGAGAGCACATCAATTTACAGCATGGCTTACTGAATATTTTAAGCCCATTGTTGAGACCTACTGCTCAGAAAAAAAAAATCAACATATTAACTGCTCACTGACAATGCACCTAGTTACCTAAGAGCTCTGATGAAAATGTAAATAAAAATGAATATTGTTTCCAGTCTGCTAACCCAACATCCATTCTGCATGCAGCCCATGGATCAAGGAGTAATTTCAACTTTTAAATCTTATTTAAGAAATACATTTGGCCAGGCATGGGGCCAAATCTCAACACTTTGGGAGGCTGAGGTGAGAGGATTACTTGAGGCCAGGAGTTGAGACAAGCCCTAGCAACACAGCAAGAAACCATCTCTACAAAAAAAAAAAAAAAATTAATTGGGTGTAGACACTCAGCAGGGTGAGGAAGGAGGATCACCAGAACCAGGGCAGGGGTTGGGGAGAGTCAAGGTTATAGTGAACTATGACCACTGCACTCCAGCCTTGGCAATAGAACCCCCTCCGCCTTTTTTTTTTTTTTTTTTTTTTTTTTTTTTTTTTTTT